ACTTGATTCTTGCGCTCCTCTGGTCTGCTGTCGGGAGTCTGTATAATATTCGTTATTTCAGTCCATGTATGCTTAATTTCTAGTTGGTTCCCCATCATAAAATCGAGGGTCTCATTAGTTTTCTTGTAGATCTCATTAAGTTTATCGGCGGCTTCTAGACAGTTCTCGAGAGACCTTAAAAGTGTGGTTTTGAACTCTATATCCTCCATTTCTGTCAGTTCTGTCCTGTTTCTTTGTCTCCACATTTTTTATGCTTTCTTGGTGCACCCCCTTGTGGTCTTTGTGCGCAGTCTTGTAGTTAAGCCTTGATTGTTGTACGTAACACTGGGGGGGATTTGATCTCCAGGCCAACAGGCTGTGAGACTCAGCTGTCTGCAGTGGGGGAACTTCTGTCCTCTAGGGAGGTGCTAATCTAGCCTTTGCCTAAGGCTATTCCGCAAATGCCTCTGTGCAAAGCTTGGGCAGGGCGGGTCCCAGGGGATCAACAGGGTGGGCGGAGCGAGCAGTTATGGCTGCTCTCAGTACCGTCCCCAGAGGCTCTGCCTCTCAGAGTCCCAGCAATCACTGCAAACCTCGGAGAGAAAGCTGCCCTCGAGTTCTGACCGATGCCAGACAGTCCCGCTTCTCCCGTGTGAGTCTGGGTCCCCAGAGACTTGCCCGAAACTGGAGTTCAGAGCCTGAGACTTCCTGCAGATTGAAACAGACAACCGTGCCCTCAGCTGCCAGCCCGCTCCGCACGCACCTCCGCATCTTTGTATTTTCCGCACTGCACCTCCTCTGAGTCTCGGTATGCTGTTCTCTTTCCTTCTAGTTGTAGAATTTCCCCTCAGCCAGCCTTCCTGTGCTTCTGGGTGATGTCCGTTTCGTCTTTTAGTTGTATATTTGAAGTGGTTGTGCAAGGCAGCAATCTCCGGTGTTTACCTATGCCGCCATCTTCGTTTCTCTAATTATTATTTTAAAATAATAATTAAAGCTAATGTATATTGAGTACATATACCAGGCACTGGTGCTATCTCATTTTATGTTTCCCAGCAGCTCCAAGAAGTATAGGTGCTATCATTTTCCATATTATAAATAAGGAAACCAGCTGAGAAAAGGTGTTTGTATTTAGAGCCAGAACTCAAACCTGGATCTGTCTCAGTAGAGCCTCTGTTTTTAATTACCACACTGAATCCTCTAAAGGAGAAATGTAGTCATTATTTGTTTTTATTACAGTTGGTGACCCAAATAGTGTCTATCAACCAACTGTTTATTCTGATATTATTGGGCTTTAAAGGCTATATTAAGTCCAGGAAATTTTAGTCTTAGAATTTGACTATAGACAAGGTTAATTGATATGTTACCTGCAAATAATGTTTTATTTTCTAAAAGGAAAATTATCAGAAGCTACTAAGACACTGTCCTTTTGTATCTGCAGTAATTTTTTTTTAAGTACAGGTTTCCCCCACTATATAAAAGAAGAACATTCCTATGAAATCTTTTCTAAGCCAAAATGGCATAAAACAAAAAGGTAATTACCATTAATTTATGTGAAAAAATTTTGTGCATACCAAGATCCCCTCAAATAACCCACCAAACCGTAATACACTTAATTATATCCAGTTTTATGCTAAGCATAACACCCTTATGAGCTCTTTTAGGTATTCTGATATTTTAGGTCACATTTTGCTAACAGATGTATAAAATTGAGATAAAGCACAGATGCGTACAGACACAGTCCAAAGCTATGCTGGCTTAATGCCAAGATGCAGAGTGTAGTTCCCACTGAAAGAGATTGGCAGCAGGGCCAATCTCACCGTTTCTGTAATGGCTCACTGCAAAACATGCTGAATGTTATTTTTGCTTTCTTCATAAAAGTGAAAATCCTCTTAGGATTTCTCAGTTAAAACAGGTACTAATGTAGGTCATTCAAAACATGAACTTTCAAAAAGCAGAGGATACATGTATTAGAGAGTCTTAATGAAAACAGACTAAACTGGAACATTGAACAATGAATCCTTTAAAGAACAAGGTTATAAGAACATTAGGTTTCATTATGTTACCATCTTATTTAGCTACAAGTGACTTTACAGTAGTGGCACCCAGCCTGGAGTTCAGTACTTTTATGAGTTTTCAGTGTAGGTAAAGGTAAAAAAAATCCAACTGAATGTTATTACCCAAGAAAAATGCTCACACTATTTCAAAGATTTCCTGATTTTATACTGTGTATGAAGTTTTGTTAGGAAAAATTCTGTCTTTAAAATGAGTAGTTGGAAAAAGTAATACTTTTAATAATTTCTTGAATAAATCTTCAAAAGCTATTTGTAGAAACATTTAAAAGTTATTAGTTTTAATCAGTAGGAACCACTGCTCTAGAAGCCAAAAATCTGGTTTTATTCCTCCAGGTAGGAACTAATCTTCATAAAGATCTCATTAGTTGACTGATTTATGAGAAGTAGGAAAAGGAGTTGAAGGAAATTTCTTTCAGTTCTGAAGACAAAAAATTTGAAAGAGCTGGCTGATTGAACCCCAGAAAAATACAAATTAATCAGGATACCATTAAAAATGAATTGCCTTTTTTCTTTTCTTTTGCAGTTTATTTATGTGAATCAGTCATTTGCTCCTTCCCCTGACCAGGAAGTTGGAACCCTCTATGAGGTAAAACATAACCGCTTTATTTTTTTAATAAAAGATGCACATCTGTGAATAGTATTATTAATTAACATAATTATTTTAAGAAATGCTATTCTTAATTGCCTCTTAGGAAAAAAGATTACTTTCTTGTTTTCTGTTATATCTCTTAACACCTTGAACATTTACTACCTCAATAAATTACTCAGTGATTAAAAAATTAAGGAATGAATAATACAGACAGAAGATGAATTTGAATGAATAATACAAACAGAAGATGTCCAGAAAATAAGGCCGCCTTTTTAGCCTAATTTGTTTCTTTTACATTGTTTATATATTTAGTAACCCAGATTTGCTTCCAAGAAATTTAAAAGTCTACATAAAAATGACTGTATTCCCCATGCTAACAGTTTCATGACAAAAATCATTATAGTATACACATTAGCACCGCTAGTAGAAAACAGTACATATATTACAGTTAAGAGATATAGAGAAAGGGCAAGATTAAAATATGTAAGCCCATCCATGCCTATGATGTTTAAAGGACAGGTTTTATTCAATACTAGAGGCCTGGTGCATAGATTCTGCACCGGTGGGGTCCTCAGCCTGGCCTGCAGGGATCATGCTGAAACCAGCTCTCTGACATCCCTCAAGGTGTCCCGGATTATGAGTGGGCAGTTCTCGGGTAACGCACCCCAGAATCAAGCTCCCACCTCTCTGGGTCCGAGGTACAGGTGAAGCAGAATCAGGGCTGACAGTGCTCCATCTACAATCTCTAACCCACGGCCGATTCCATGAGACTCCCTCCTCTACTGGTCGGAGCATCATAGCTACCAGGCAAACAGTTTAACAGTCACTTAAGCTCATATATATAGATTACTAAAGGCTCAGTGCACGAAATTTGTGCACGGGGGGCGGAGGGGGTGCGTGTCCCTCAGCCCAGCCTGCACCCTCTCCAATCTGGGACATTCCTCTCACAATCCAAGACTGCTGGCTCCTAACCGCTCACCTGCCTGCCAGCCTGATCGCCCCTAACTGCTCCGCTGCTGTCCCAGTCGGCCCCCAACTGCCCTCCCTTGCTGGCCTGGCCCCCTTGTGTGAGGGTATGATGGTCAATTTACATATTACCTCTTTATTACATAGGATGATTACTGATGTGTTAACATAGCAACTTGCATCTTTTGAAAGAAATGGCTTTGTAGATAATTTACACCTATATGTATAAGGATATTTATGATACGTATAACATCTTTTCTTTCATCAAAGAATTAAGTTTGTTGCTGTTATTTTCTTTTTGTAGTGTTTTGGCAGTGATGGTAAACTGGTCCTACATTACTGCAAATCTCAGGCATGGGGATGAAGGACAGAGAAAAAGATCTTGATAACTTCACAAAGGACACAGCTCTGAAAAGTTTGATACTTATGGCAAGATATTTGTGGATATGATCTCAGCATGTTATCTGCTAAGACCCATGTTTATGCATGTAAAAATCCATAGAGTTGACCCACAAAAATGTGATTTGCATTAATACAGGAGTCATCGTGAAAGAGTGACATTAGAGTATATACAGCACTACAACTATTGCTCCAGATATGCCTCCAGGATATTGAAAAGGAGACTAAGATTGTATAAAGCCTCTTTTTTGTTTGTTGTGTGTTTGTTTAATTTATCTTTATTGTTGAAAGTAATACAGATGTCCCCTTTTTTCCCCCATTGACCCCTTTTTGGCTGCAGAGGTCTTCACTTCACTATTGTCTGTGTCCATGGGTTATGCATATAAGTTCTTTGGTTAATCTCTTCCTACCCACCCCACCTTCCCTCTGAGATTTGACTGTTTGTTCCATGCTTCTATGTCTTTGGAGCTATTTTGTTCACCAATTTATTTTGGGGTCTAGAGTCCACATATGAATGAGATCATGTGATACTTGTCTTTTTCTGACTGACTTATTTTGCTTAGCACAATACTCTCCACGTCTCTCCATGCTGTCTCAAAGGGTAAGAGATCCTTCTTTTTTATTGCTGCATAGTATTCCAATGTGTAAATGTACCACAGCTCTTTTTTTTTAGGTTTCTTAGAGTATATTCCTAGAAGTGGGATTACTGGGTCAAATGGCAGTTCCATATTTAATTTTTGAGGAAATTCCATACTGTTTTCCATAATGACTGCACCAATCTTCATTCCCACCAGCAGTGTACTAGGGTTCCCTTTTCTCTACATCAGGGGTCCTCATACTTTTTAAACGGGGCCAGTTCATTGTCCCTCAGACCGTTGGAGGGCCGGACTATAGTTTAACAGAAAAAACTATGAACAAATTCCTATGCACACTGCACATATCTTATTTTGAAGTAAAAAAACAAAACGGGAACAAATACAATAATTGTATTTGCATGTGGCCCGCGGGCTGTAGTTTGAGGACCCCTGCTCTACACCCTCACCAGCACTTGTCATTTGTTGACAAAGGAGGCAAGAGCATATAGTGGAGTCAAGACAGTCTATATTCAATAAGTGGTATTCGGAAAGTTAGGTATATGCGAAAAAATGAAATTAGACTACCAACTTACACCATACACAAGAACAAACTAAAAAAAAATGGTTAAAAGACTTAAAAGTAAGTCTTGAAACCATAAAAATTCTAGAAGAAACCACAGACTGCAAAATCTCAGACATCTCCTGTAGCAGTATGTTTGCTGATATATCTCCTAGGGCAGGGGAAACAAAGGAGGAAATAAACAAATGGGACTACATCAAAATAAAAAAACTTCGGCACAGCAAAAGGAACCATCAAAAAATGAAAATGGAGCCCACTATAGGAGAATAAATTTGGCAGTGATACATCTGATGGGTTAACATATATAAGGAACTTGTACAACTTAACAAAAGGAAGAAAAACCAATTAAAAAATGGGCAAAGGACCTAAATAGACACTTCTCCAGAGCGGACATACAGAAGGTCAAGAGACATGAAAACATGCTCAATGTCCTTAATCATCAGAGATGCAAATTAACACAACAGATACCACCTCACACCTGTCAGAACGGCTGCTATCAACAAATCAACAAAACCTCTTTTTATAAGTTCTTAAAAAGA